GCTATGCCAATCCGAAGCCAGGATCCAGGAACCTCTTCCGGGTATCCCACACGAATGTAGGGTCCCAAAGCTTTGGGCCATCCTCGACTGCTTTCCCAGGCCACAGGCAGGGAGCTGGATGGAAAGTGGAGCTGCCGGGATTAGAACCAGTGTCCATATGGGTTCCCAGCATGTTCAAGGAGAGGGCTTTAGTCGCTAGGCCACGCCTCCGGGCCCGAGGATTGTTTTCAAAAGCGTAATCCAGTTATGTATTTGTATATAGTAAGGTGTTGTACATAAATACCGTCTGAAGTGTTTCCTTTTTCAGCCTAACTTCTCTGCTTCATGAATTCAGTCCCTATATTTTTCCTTTTCCAGAATATCATATAAAATGTAATCAGTTTGCATAATGCCTTTGGCTTTATTTGCATTACTGCTTTAGTTGTTATTTTTGCTGTTTTTTTTTTTAATACAGAAAAACCACATTTATTCAGTAGATAATCCTAATGGTTATTTCCAAGATTTGGTGATCAGTAAGGCTGCTATCAACCTTCACAAGCAGGTGTTTTATGGAAATGCTTCCTTGGACAAATACTAAGAAGATACGGTGTTGCTGGGTCATATGAATCATTTTGTTTAACATCCTTGCTTTTCTACATGTATTTTATAGTTGTAAATTTACGCAAAAATGTTAAAATTTGATGGGACTTTTAATAGGGGTGCATTTGTAGAAAGCCATTTGACAAGAGTTGACTTCGAAGTATTGTTGACTCCTTTAATGCATGAATACCCTCTCTTTCTCTGCATTATGGTCTTTAAATCCTCCCGATCATGTTTTGTGACTTTCAATGAATAAATTGTACACACATTTTTGTCAGAATTAACCCTGAACTTCTCATGCTTTTGATGCTATTTTTCTTTTGGTTTATACTTTTCATTTGAGAATGTACTGAGGAATATGTTTTTGTATATTAATATTCATAATTTTGCAAACATCCTGTTATTATAGTTTTATGTACTCTGAGATTTTCTACACAGAAATGATATCATCTGTGGATGGTTTACATGTTCCTCTCAGGTGTGTGTGCCTTTGTATTTTTTTATTGTAATGTGCAGATCTGAATGCAAATGTGGAGGATGGATATTTTTTGGTTTTAATTTTTTATCTTTGAGAAATATGATGTTAACTACATGTTTTATTATTTTTTAAAATTTTTTTAAAAAGATTTGTTTTTATTGGATAGGCAGATATACAAAGAGAAGGCTCTTCTGTCTGCTGGTTCATTCCCCAAGTGGCTGTAATGGCCGAAGCTAAGCCAACCTGAAGCCAGCAGCCAGGAGCTTCCCCTGGGTCAACCACGTGGGTGCAGGATCCCAAGGCTTGGGCTATCCTGGACTGCTCTCCAGGCCACCAGGAGGGAGCTGGGTAGGAAATGGAGCAGCCAGGTCAGAAACTGACATCCATGTGAGAACCCAGTGCATGCAAGGTGAGGATTTAGTCACCAGGCTATCGCTCTGGGCCCCAGCTATATGTATTATTCACATCACTTACATATGGCTAAGAAGTTTGTTTCTCTTGTTCAAAATTTTTATCATAAAAGGATACTGAATTTAATCAACTCACTTTTCACATTCTATTGAGATTTTTGTTTTTTAATAGTGAATTATACATTGTTTTATAATTACAGATTTAAAAATTATTTAAAAAAGGAAACAGCTGCATAACATTGCATTCTCACAAACAATGCACAAAGGATCCAATTTCTCTACAATCTTGCCAGCATTTGTTAACTTTTTTTAGCAGCAATAATAATGAATATGCAGCATACTACTCAAGGCTTTTACATCTACTCTCTTAAGATGCTGCTCTGTAAATTCTTCTTTAGTTAGATATAAACATTTTTGGAAAATAAAGAGAGAAAAACAAGAAAGAGTCAAGGAGGACCCTGCGGTTCCTTGATTGCAATACCTGATGCCTAAGGGTAACACGAAATTCTGGAGGAATAGCAGATTTGAGAAGACAGGGAGGGAGGATTTGTGCAAACAACACTGTTTTAATATTCAAAATTTTAGGTTCACAAATATTGGCTTTCCTGGCAAAGACACTCTAACTAGCAGCTGAAAAAACATGACTAAAACTTAAGAAATGAGTAAGGATAGGAAATAATGGTACCATATCAGTTACAGAGTGCCTATTTTGTGTTTGGGAATTGCCCGTTTTTGTGATAGCTGAATCATAAAGACCAGGGAAATGGAGAAAGAGGGCCAAGAAGAAACAAAATGTAAGGACCGGAAAGAAATACGCAATGAAGACTGACAAAGAACAATTAAAAACACAGGATGGAGGGACAAAAGGAAACTGTATCATGAAAATCAAAGAAGTATCAAAAGGAACTAATTCTTCAAGGTTTAAAGTGATTCCAATTTTATTTTTTATATATTCATTGAGAGAGCATGTTGATCACAATGCTGGTCACTCATCCTTTTTGAGTAAGAGAATTACTGAGTTAATGTGGATTACCCATAGGATAAACGTTACGATGACAAGTCACCCTTAGCTAAGACAGTTACCTCAAACTTGATGCCATAAGCTAAGCCAGTTTCCTCTATTTCAACCATAAAAAGGAAAGATTAAAATATTTAAAAATCATATTTCATTTTGTCATTAGCTTCTTAATTCAAAATCATATCCCCCCTCAAAAAAATAACAACAAGAAAAACTTTTAATAAACAGTCAGGTGTTTGAAAACATTTATTTTAAAAATTCACTATAACACACTGTATTTACTCACATATATTCCTGTTACCAGACATTTTCAGCAAACAGACATCTTTAAGCATCTTCATCAGCTTTTATCAAACCTTCCAAGTGGCTCCTGCTGCTGTTGACAACCACAGCAGCCTGTTGGGGGTAAAGTGTGGGGAGAGAAAAATAATCAAGTATTCCTCAAAATTCAGAAATAACAAAACACTTGAGGGGGTGGAATGTGTATTTGTATGCTTTCAGTGAAGGCCCAATAGTGATATAATCTCCACATTCTAAAATGAATATAATGCAAGCACACTAGATACTTTAACTATCAACAATCCAAATTTAATTTTAGTTAGAACTGCTAGATACTAGGTTTTGTGGAAGTTATACTGATTAAGGTATGCCTTAAAAACTGTAATAATGTGTTTAAACACATACTTTGTAAAATGAAGGTAAGCATTTAAATGGTTAAAAGAAGCATTATTGACCTGATTACTATGATTTTGGAGGTAGTAGAAAAACAAAATGAATTAATCATGTGTGTAATTTTTTCTTTACCCTCCCCACAAACAACCTCTCCAACAAAAACCTGTTTTCAGTTCAAAAGGGACAGAGAGCTGTGGCACCTGGTCTTTATTTTCATGTCCTCAATGGTGCAGAGGGAAAGCTGACCCAGATACTTCTCTACCCTGGTGGGTGCGTTGGGGAGAGATACAAGATGTTGAGACTGCTGGCAGCCAGAGAGCAAGTGGAAGGTGATCACTGTACATATCTCAAGTGGGATTTAACAAAGGAAAATGAGGAGAACCATGTGGTGGTGGCAAGGAAAGGCAAGTTAGGTAGAGGGCACAGAATGAACCTGACCCAAAAAGCAGCCAAGTGCAGGTCATCCACAGAGGTGAGAAGAATGCAGAGAAAGGCTCAGGTCAGAGCAATGCAGTCGGGCTGAGAGCGACAAATGCCTTAACTTCTATTACATGTACATGATGAAGCAATTGAAGCCAGAATAAGGTGTTATATGCTTAAGAGTTGCCTGAAGAAAAATGATTCTGCTTACCTAGGAAGGCTGAATTTCAAGGTGAGACCGTTCAATGCTGAGCCTAACTAGGGTGAGTAGTACTCATCACTTCTCAGCCTTTTGGCTGAGATCAAGTGTAGAGTAGTACTAATGATAAAGCGAGGTTGAAAATGGCACATCTTTGCGTATGGATATAAAATTAAGGAAATTTTCATTTCTTTTTATTATTTACATAATATGGAAAAGAACAAGGTTTTCCTAGTTGGAAAAACAAAATTCAAGAGTGAACATGATTTCACCAGAAAGTGTGAACGTAAGGGATGTCTGCTGGAGACACAGCTTTTAGATTATGGAGTGGTTAAGCTAATGCATGGTGACCCCTTTGTAAAATTTGTGCTGCAGAAAAATTAGAGTCAGTTGAATGTGTGAGGCCAGAATAGAAAATGTCACAAATAAAATCTGTTTTTCTTTTTAAGACTCAAAAACACTGGGCTGCACTGTTGTGACCAGTACAAAAAATATTCACTTAGTGCCTAATTAGTGCATACTGTCAATTATGGTAACTGTGTAAAAGTTAGAAGATCTGTATTTTTATCCTGGCTCTGTGGTTCAGTCACTTAGGAACAAGAGCTGTTTTACTTTTCCGGGTCTCAGTTTCCTAACATGTAAAATGCATTTAAGCCAGATGATCCCAAGTGATTATTTCAGGTTAAAAATTCCAGTTACTCAAGATCCAGCTATCAAGGGCTAGTGACAGGACTTCGGCAATGTTTTCATCCCAAACCCACAAATTAACAAAACTAATTCAATTTTTTCATGGTCTAGTTTACACACAATTATTTTCAACCAGTTTTCACGTAATTAAAAAAAATACAAAATATAACTGAAATTTTTCCTAAAGCGGTTCAATGCAGAATACTTGGGAATTTATTAGTATCATATATATAAATATATTTAACATCTCAATTACAGATTGACAAATACAATGGACATATAGAACTCCTAAAAATCTGAGAATAAACCATACATTTGCAACTAGAACAATGAGCCACTGCATGTTAATACATCCTGTTGGAATAGATTCTACAGTGTCCTTCTCCATGTTCAAACGGCAGTGATTATTTGTCAGCATAGCCACGAAGGACTTGTAAACTCTTTGCTGTGCACTCATGTCCACCATAAAAAATTCTGTTTGATTAGCTTCAAGGCTTTGATGAGGCTGGGTATTTTGAGTCCCCCCTGCCCTTTTAAAAGCAGTTATAGCCTTAACTCCTAACCATAGCTATCTGTCCAGATATGACCACTGTTTGGGGACGGGGAAGTAAGTGGTAGGTGCTGAATCCGAAGAAATATTTTATTTTTCTAAACTAAGAAAAACAGATTTGGTTGACTGGATAGAGCACTGTATATGAAGATAATTCATACTGATTGTTTTATAGGCAAGAGGATTTGTTAAAGTATAATTCAGTCTAACTTTTTTTTTTCTTTACTGCATGTGGGTTCTGAGTTCCCTCTTACAAGCCCTCTCCTCCTAGTGTTAAGGAAGGAAGATAAGGACCCATATCAGAGCTAACCGACTTTGTAACACTTTTAGTTTTAAAATACCACTGACAGGATGAAAGTAGCAAATAGTGCTTCAGAAGTACTTCTCCCGCTGAGTTTAAATCAAATAAAGTACAATTCTTATAAATCTAACATATTAAGATTCTATATAGTTAGTGGCAAATCCCAGGTATAATCTTGTTTCCATCAGAGTCTGACTGCCCAGGGAAGTTACTAGCAGGTGTAGCGGAGGACCAACCAATTAATACAGATACAATGATGGGACACTGAAGGAATCGGCTTCTTTCTTTGAAATCCAAACATTACCTCCTTTGATTTTTCTTTTCATCCTCCTGGCAAGAAAAAGGTGTATCAACTGTCTTTAACACTAGGGAAACTCAAAACATTTATTCATGAATTTTCAGTGCCTCACTTTAAGTTACAATATGTGTACTTTAACAGCAATAGAAAAATGAATTGTGAAACTCCAATTTTAAATATGAACATAACAGGTTAAATGTTTCTTTAAGGACTACACGTAGTTTTCCACATTCCTATTGTCTACTTCACATCTGAGCTGCTGCCTCCCTGCTGGCACTCCTCCTCTAAGCAGGCTCTTCAGCACAGAACAGCATCTCAGAGGCCAAACCTTCTTGCCCAAGGTAGGTGTGGTCTGGGTACGGTTCTTCTTTAGAAAATGTTGTGCTGGCTCCCATTGGATGGCCTTGGGAGATTCGACCAGATCAGTTTTGGACAAAAATAGGAGTCAGAGAGAACTTGGGTTTCCAAGAAAAATAAAGTGCTGCCCCCTATAAATCACAGTCTCTGGAGTAATGTCTCTTCCTAAAGAGGTAGAAATAATAGGGGTGTGTATGTTGCAGATGCCCATATTTCAGTAAAACTGAACATGTATCTTTAAGGGCTTAAAATGGACTGACTCCACTCATCTCTCTGATTTTTTCATAAGTAAGCCAGAACACCAGTGACCAAGGGGTCTGAAAGATTAACCAAACAAGTTAGTGCGTATTTCAAAGCAATCACAAATATTCTACGTATATGCATATACATTGTTGAGTGACAAAGTCATGATACATCAACTTTAGCTGAAAGTGATTATTTTTGTACTCTACCTTAAAGCACTTCATACTTTACAAAGCATTTTCACATCTTATTTGTCACGGCCCTTTTGAAATAACAAAATAAAATAGAAATGAAAGTTGCTACCATCCCTGTATTTTACTGAACAGTCGCTGGTTAGAGGGCCGAAACTTTGGATGCCTGAGTTCTAAGGTGGGCTCCTCTACATATACCTCATATCCATAGCACAATGAGAAACTTCAACAGCTTAAAAGGAGGATGGAAGATTCAATTGGGACAGTTAGGTCATAAAACCAATACCTGGTGTCTTTCTATACTGGTATAAAAATTTAGAATACCTAGGGAGTCTTGGCTTAACTTGCATGAAGGTTTAACTACAACTAAAGGAAATGTAAGAGAATAAGGGTAGAAAATATTTAAATACTAAAAATATAAACACTAAGGACACCAGAGGGAAATAGAAGGTAAACATGGGAACTGTAAGAGGGTACCTTGGTTATCATTTCTGCTTCAGTTCTGATTGGTGCTGAACGCAGAGATGCTCTATGGGATCAGTGTATAGCAATAAATGTAAACAATTAGAATGTAACACGTACAGAACAATACTTATGTTTCTGGAAATATTTTCATGTTATTTTAGGAAACTATTATATATATTTTAATGTTTCAGGAAACTGAAATTTAGTAAATAGTGGGGTTAGGAGAACAGATCTTAAAGAAAGAAAGGGATGAAAGAAGTATCATGAAGATATGAAGATGCATTCTAATGACTAACAAAAATAGAGCTAAGGATATAACTGCAGCAAGGGGGTCTTAGTTAAAAATGGACTTTGCACTCATTCCTACCCAAAGTTGTTTTTCAGCAACAGTCCTTTCCATTCCCCTAGGGTCCACAACGGAAACCTAAGTCCTAATTTCTTTTTTCCATCTCTCATCGGACTTAGCTCTACATGTCTTAAAATCTATCTTCTTTCCATTTCTAGAATCACTTCTTGCCTAGAATTCTCCCAAAGCATGTTTTCTTATATCACATCTTTTGACATATTTTTTATACTGCTGCCAAGCTGAGTGCATTATTTTCATGGTTAAGAAGGTGCTTCTATTAACCACATCCAAACTATCAAGGTTGGTCCTTCCCAGCCTGGACCTTGCGCACTTCTCTAACCTTGTCTTCTACCACTTCCCCTCCAGTATGTGCTCTCCAGTCACACAGAATTTTCTGTAGTTCTTCAAACATTCAAGGCCCACACATGACACAGCACCTATGCTCATGTTGCTCCATCATATTTCTTTTAAAAGATGCTTATAATGCTTCAGAGCCCAGATTTGATATTGGCTCTGTGAAGACTCTCAAGTACTGTTACATACATTTTTATTCTACTTTCCATGTTCAGAGAAAATGTATATTATAAAAATATGCATCAATTAAAGATTTTGCATCAAAATAAACATATCTTTTAATTCTATTTTCTACAAATTTTTTGAAGTACCCAGTAGCAGGCTACCAAAGCTTAATGCCCTGATTCACTTACCCTGGCTTAGTTTTTTTGTTTGTTTGTTTGTTTGTTTTTTCTTAAAAAAATTTTATTTTTATTGGAAAGGCAGATCAGATTTATGGAGAGAAAGAGAGAAATATCTTCCATCTACTGGTTCACTCCCCAAGTGGCTGCAATGGCAAGAGCTGAGCCTATTCAAAGCCAGGAGCTTCTTCTGGGTCTCCCACATGGGAATAGGGTCCCAAGGCTTTGGGCCACCCTCCACTGCTTTCCCAGGTCACAAGCAGGGAGCTGGATGGGAAGTGCAGCAGCCAGGACATGAACCAGGGCCCACAAAGGATCTCGGTACTTGCAAGGTGAGGAATTAGCCATTAAGCCATAGTGCTGGGCCCCCAATTTTTTTAAACTCTTTTTTTCTCATAGTGACAGTGTGTTAATAGTGAGAACATCTAGACTGAAGTCAGTGAAGGGAAGAGGCACATGGTCCCAGGCAGGAGGGACAACCCTTTCCTGGCAGGATGCACAGAAGGCACTTCTCTCCCTTTCTAATGATGTGTGGCAATCTGAAGGAAGTACTGACCCAAGGAGGCTCATCTGAGCCTTTGTGTCTAGAGTTGTCACGGGGGTTAGGTATACAGACATACCATGCGGCCCACGATGCCCACCGTAAGTCATATTTAGTGGACAGAGACTGCCTGAGAGGTATGCAGGCAGCATCATTCTCATCAGGCAGGCCATGCCAAGACATGGGTGAATTCCCAGACCCTGAGACAAAGGAAAGTCTAAAAATTTAGCCATTGAGCCATCATGCCAGATCCCTGGTTTAGTTATTTATTGGGAGTTTTATTTTTATTCCATTCTTTATTCAATAAGAACTATGCTATCCTACTTACTTTGTAGGTATTGGGAGAATTGAATAAGTTAAGCCATAAGCACAGTTAGTACCATGTTGGCCATATACCAAGTAACTTAGCAGTTATCTACTGTTTTTACAATTTTAACTTTTAAATGCATTGTAAAATTCTCTAGTGTAGACAGTCTTTTTCTCTGAGTCTGACAATACCTGTGACAGCGCTTGGTTTATACAGATCAAATAAAAATGTGCCTTTCCAGTAAGAAATATCCATAGTTCTTGGATAATTTCAAAATACCATTTTCATATAATGAAGGTCGCCAAAATAGCGGCTCCTTTCATTTTGTAATGCTGGAAAATCAGAACTGGCTATTTAAAATTTCACTTGTTTACAAACTAAATTCATTTTACTTCAATCTTCTTTCCTTCCTAGCTTCCTACTCTGAGTGACTAATCATGACCTAGGTTGAAAGTAAGTAGAAAGAAGAAAAAAAATGGCTGACTTCATAGGGATGTTTCTTGCTGCTTCCTACCTTCTAAATATCTGCTTACCCCATTCTTTTCTGTGTCCACTGTTCTACTCTCATCCTCACCAGTACTACCTCTCATTTTCCACTATTCCTAGCCTTAACTCACATGGAGCCAGAATCTCCTTTCTAAACATACAAATTTCTTCCTCCCAGTACAAAAAATAACACCTAAACAAAACAAGGAACATCATAATGTTTTCTTACGAAGCACAGTTCTGTGATCATAAGTTATAAGTGGTGCTATAACATTTGCCATCAGAGTAATACATTTTCTTAGAAGCAGTAGCATTTTTATAGGGAAAATTTCTAGTGCCAAATATTTGTACAGGTCTCAAATTACTGTCGTTTAGACTGTAAAATTGAAAAACGTTTCATTTTATACAAAATCTATCCACTGACTTTATAAAAACGGACTATCAGCTTACTCAGTAGTGGACTGAATTATTTAATTTTGCCTTAATTTACTATGAAAGGTGACATAACTCTGAGTAGAAGTGAAAGAAAATTTTGGAAATATTAAAAAAAAAAAAAGAAAAAAGGAAAGGGCCTTAGTTTGGGGGCAGAGCTATGCTACAAACCAGAAAGGAAAAGGGGAAACACTTATAGACCAAAAGTAACTTAAGTACAAAGAAGAAGAAGAAAAAAGAAAAAAAAAGCTAACTTTACCATTCTCAGCCAAGATGGTAAAAAGCCTTTGTACAGACTCATGAACCCTTCGCCTTGAACGGCCTGAATCAAGCAGTCAGTTGATGACTTATATAAAAGTCCCCTACAAAGAAAATGATACTTTTGTTAGATTTGTCATTTGTAAATGAACACATAAAGAACAAGAAACAATACAAGAAAATTTATTATAAGTTAAATATTTTCGTATAATTCAGAACAAATAATACTAGTGGTACTACAGATGTTTATTTTTAAGCTTAAAGAAATTTTCAAAGTTAACTCTTCTGGTTCATCCCACCCTTGGTCTTAAATACTTAGAATCCACTCCACCTGATCCTTTCCAGAAAGAACGTACTATTTTATATCAAATCAAATTCTCCAGGTTACCTGTAAGTCATAAGCTTCTGAAGAAAGTGCTGTGTAAATTCTCAGCAGAGTATGCTTTCAAAAACTCTTTGAAAACAATAAAGTCACAATGAATACCTTGTGTCTAAATTATGACCATTAGTTTATCTCCTCAAATGTATATTACTTTTTCATCAAAGAACAAGTAACTGGATAAAAACAATTTCCTCACAAAACGGTAAAATGCACACATAGATTTTTATCAAGAATCAATACAGGAAGGCATCTTTAAAGAACAGAATTTATTACAGACATTCAGATACATAAATACTGAAAACTTTCTATCTACCTTCCTTGTTTATCTCGTGGTTGATTCATTATTCGGCTTTTGATGACATCGGCTGGTGTTCCCAGAATAGAAGCTACCAGTCCAGAACAAAAACTACAGATACAAATAAATGAAATTGAAAGAATATGCAGTAGATACTAAATTTTAAGAAAAGGAAACTGATATTTAGGAAGAGTTAGATACAATGTTATTTTAATATTCTTTATAATAAAGATGTTTTAGCTTAAAGTAACTAATTCATTAAAGAAGCAGAAAAAAAACATAAAGAATATCAGTCAACAAATATGTACTGAACACTTTCTGATGCCAGGCATTCCTTTCAGGCAATGAACATGACAGGTAAGATCCTGCCCTACAGGAGTTATATTTTGGGGGAGGCAGAGCAGATAAATTGAGATGCTGGTAAGTGCTGTTAAAAAAAAAATGAGAAAGTGCTATGAAGAGTAAGTGGGTGAAAGGCAATCTGGGGAAGGCTCTGGGGTAAGGACAGAATTGAGTGGTGGAAATGGTACATCTTTGTAAAGATGTAGAGGAAAAGTGAGACAGCTGCAATATCACATGCAAAATAAGCACTTTACATAATAATACTTCTAGTATGTTTAAACGCATATGTCCAAGTATCATGGACATGATTCTATTCCTACACTCTTTGAACTATCTAAATAGCATAGGGAATTATAGGATTTGGAAGTAGGAACAAAGTTAAATGTAATAACTTCCACTGTTAATAACTCATTCTCATGAATAATTTGAAGTTAAGTTGCAAAGAAATTAAGGTGTCACCCTTCCAATATATCCTTCTTCCTGTGTCTGTGAAGCTTCTCATTCATTTAGTACTTTTAAATAATTTTAATTCTTTTGTGAGTCCTTCCAAGTGGCTTTTCCCTTCCACCTCTGGAACCCTACACGCACCAGTCACCTTCTAGTATTTACAGAGATTTTGTGATTGGTCTCTTGAGGATAAGTTCCCTGAGTCGGAGTTGCATTTGCACCCTTTTTATGCAATGCAGAGTCCTGCAGTGTCTTTAGCATAAAACATGCTCCAGCATATCTCTGAAATTATGGAGAGCTGCTCATCAGCAACCATCCGTGCAAAGTCCCCATCAAGGTACAAATACATCAGGGGGCTATAACTTGTCTTTTTCTTATTTCAACTAAAAGAAACATTAAGAAAATCACTCTTTTGTAAATATACTACCAACTAGATCCCTGAGCAAAACAGCTAAAATGTGGCATATTTGCTAACTATGGAAGACAAGGTAATAAAAAATATTCAAGTTAAAATCTATCACTTACCTTGATAAACCATGAGTCATGATATTGTCCTCCAGTCGTGTATTTAGTACCAAGTAGTGTTTCACAGTGTCATAAGTGGTTAGATCTGGCAATGGAAAAACAAGGCTTGAAGATTCATTCACTCTACAGTGAATGTCTTTTGTGTCAATATGTTTGGCGGGGCAAGACTGTGTCCCAGGATGAAAGATACCATTCTTGTTCTCAAGCAGAGGAAAGCAGAATTATAGATGGAGAGAAAAGAAAACAAAAAACACATGAAGACTCAAGCATCACGTGAATCTGAATCTAGCCAGCCTACACATCAGTCAACTGCTGCAGTTACTCATATTTTGTTTTGATAAAGTCTTCTGTGAGCCTAAACTAAGCAGAACTGAGATCCTGTGGCATGTAAATAAAAGGTCTTTTTTATGATATTTTTCAAACGATAATGAAGAATACTGAAAGTTAAGCAGGGAGTAATGACTCTGGAGTTTTATAATGATTACCCACTCTAAAGTATAGGGAAGTAAATCGTAATGAGGCAAAAATAGACAGGTGCACTGCATCGTTCTCCAAATATCTAAGTGTCTACCAAGTATAGGGTACTAATGCAGGTACTGACAAAACACAAGGTAAACAGAAATCCCTGCTCTCTGTTTTATGAGGTAATAAACAAACTATATGATTTTTAAACATGTCATCAGACAATGCAGTAAATTTTCTGAAGAGTGAGATTAGAGTCACACAGGGTAGGGAGGAATGTTGCATTTAAATCTGAAAGAGGATGATAACAGAAGACTTCTCAGTAACATCAGAATTGAGCAGAGATCGAAAGGAGGCAGGGGAAAATAGATATTTAAGAGAAAGGTATCCAAAGCAAATGAAAAGTATATCTTCCAGCCCTAAGTCAAGGTCATTTTAAGAGATTAGAGGAATAGCCTGGAGACTGTTCTAACAGAATGTGCAGGAACCAGAGATGTAGCAGAACTGCAAAAATGAAAGGAAAATTAAGATGAACGCAAACACTGAAAGAATCTTTCAAGGTGGAGTTAGGAAATTATTAGGAAACAGGACTTTTGTTAGATTCCAGCTGCTGTCTTGAGTATTGAACACTCATCACTGCCATCCTTTGCAGGCTTCTGGAAAGACCCAAATAAGCAAACATGTTGAACCCAAAGGCTCCTATGGCTAAAAACAGGTTACAGGAATCATGTATTAAGAACATTTCCATTCTGCTTATACATTCTTCTCTTTACCTTCTACTGGGTACACAGCCTCCATTCTTTTCAACATTCAACAACCTATACAAGTTCTTGCAATTCCTTCGTTCCTCTGAACACTGATTCAGAACTATCTGAACCTGGGTCTCCAAAATTGCCACTCCTAATACTTTCAGATATAGCCCTTTTACTTTTGCAGTCTGACTGGACTGAGAATCCAGATGACAAGAGCATCAGAAGCCAGTGAAGTGTGTTAGCAAAGCCATGACTAACCTGGGCTACTACTTAGAAGAACCACATACATGCTCTGTTTGAGAAAGGATCTGTAGGGGCACAAGGCAAATTCGATCCTGATTAGAGTCAAAGATGGTTTAGACAAGGCAGTTGCAGGATTCTATGCAAAAATCTGAATACATTTTGAAGGTAGGGTCACATAAAAATTATAGAAGGTCACTATTTCGGATCAAACTTTTATATTAAGAAGCTTAGACAGACTGGCTAAAATTCAAAATAGTGTCACTCACTTTAAAGTTTCAGTGCATTAAACCACAACAAACTGTTTGTGTAATCTTCTGAGAAATCAGAGAAAACAATCACAATACCTGTAGGCCAGTTTCTATCAGCATGATCATGAAATTCCCTCTGCCTAATCCTTACACAAAAGAAGTCACCTAGGGCACGGAGCTGTGGCGCAGTGGTTAAGGTCCTCGCCTTGCACGCCTGGGATCCCATATGGGCGCAGGTTCTATCCCAGCAGCCCCGCTTCCCATTCAGCTCCCTGCCTGTGGCCCAGGAAAGCAGTCGATTACAGCCCAAAGCTTTGGGACCCTGCACCCGCGTGGGAAACCCAGAAGAGGCTCCTGGCTTTGGATCGGCATAGTATCGGCCGTTGCGCTCACTTGGAGAGTGAATCATCGGACGGAAGATCTTCTTCTCTGTCTCTCCTCTCTGTATATCCGCCTTTCCAATAAAAAATAATAAAAATAAATCTTTAAAAAAAACCAAGGTGTCACCTAAAGTAATCTCCATGCTAACCCAGCTGTTTTCCCTCTGTTCTGTACCCCTATCCTCACTTTCTGAGGAAAGTTAACTTCGAAATAACCATACTATTTTTTTTTCTTTTCCATCTCCTTCAGCCTTTTTCTGTCTATAAAATCTTGCCCACTCAGCTCTCCAGAACACTTACTCTATTTTAAGGACTGAGGTGTTCTCTAATTTTAGTAATAAAAGAAAGCAAATTAAGATCTTTAAGTCATTACAATTTTGTTTGTTGACAGTAGAATGCGAAGTATTAGCTAGCAGGTGGAATCTGTTCTGAAAGAACAGAAGCAAAGATAACTGCAAAGTTTTGAGTATAAAAATTGAAAGGATAGAGATGGCATTTATGGAGATAATAAAGATGAAATTTGAGGTTTTATATATCTAAATAAGATGACAATCTAAGGTAACCTTCATAAAACCAGTTTTGGATGCATCATGGCAAAAAACAGTTGCAGAGCAGACATGGAAGCAGTGATCCAGGAGGAGCTAAATTGTTTGTGAATGAACAAGTGGCTCAGGGAGACTTACAGGATCACAGAGAAATGTGGAAATGTGAGATGCATCTGGAAGATAGAACTTATTGGATACAGGGAGCATAAATAAAGAATAAAAAACCATGTCTGGCTTTTCCATATGAAATCATGGTGGCATAACTGGGATCTTTTTTTTTTAAGATTTATTTTTATTATTTTTTTATTGGAAAGGCAGATATACAGAGAGGAGAGACAGAGAGGAAGATCTTCCGTCTGATGATTCACTCTCCAAGAGAGCGCAACAGGCTGATACTATGCCGATCCGAAGCCTGGAGCCTCTTCCGGGTCTCCCACGCGGGTGCAGGGTCCCAAAACTTTGGCCATCCTGGACTGCTCTCCCGGGCCACAGGCAGGGAGCTGGAAGGGAAGCGGGGCTGCTGGGATAGAACCTGCGCCCATGTGGGACCCCGGGCGTGCAAGGCGAGGACCTTAACCACTTGTGCCACCGCACCGGGCCCCATAACTGAGATCTTAAAGAAAAGGAAAGGGGTGGCTTAATAAAGGGGTGGATATATGAGTGAATAGCTAGCACTTATCAGAGAAATCTGGGCTACAACAGCTTTTGAAGCAGCAAACTGAGAAAACAGAATCAGAAAATTTTCCTGAAAACCAAAATATCCAATAGCATATGCATGAAACAGAAATGGACAAAATAGCAAAACAGAGAATATATTTACTTCCTTTGATGTGTAGGTCACTCCACCACAGCTCTCAAAAATGCCATTCATCAATTCCCCAGAATCATATCATTGGTTTAAGAAAGGATTATTTCATTGTTTAATTCACTCATCAAATGGTTACTGACCACATATGAGGACCTGAGGAAATAAAGATGAATCAAAGCACAGACGTTGCCTTTAAAGGTGCATAGTCAATGTGTTATGCAACTGCATAATGAAGTAAGGTATAAGCAATGGTGGCAAGAAACACATAAAAAGAGGATTGTAGAAACACATAAAAGGGCAGATACCACAACAGATGTTGGGAAGGCACCTGAACCAAGTATTGTGGGATCTGTGGAAGAAAACCAAGAAGCAGGCAAAAGAGGAGAGGAAGCACAGGGAGGAGGAACAGCTTGCCACGTGCAGGCAGTGGAATCTGCTTTTTAACTCACTCTGCCACCAGAATCAGTGAACCGTTTGGCTTTTATAAGAGGACAGATTTTGCAGACCTGCTATCATGTCATGTTTCAAGATTTGTACTTTATTCTCTGAGAAGTTGAGAAGGCAGTGGAGGGTTTTAAGGATATCAACAATATGTTCAAATCTATATTTTGGAGAGCTCAGATACCGAGTACAAAATGGAGAAGGAAGGAAAAAACAATTAAATGGTAGTGGCCTAGCTGAATGGTTTAGAAGGCTGGCATCACAGAAATTATCCTTTTAAGAATGCTAAGGTATTAGGTGCTGGGGGAAAGGAGCAGAAACTTTAGGAAGCATTTAGAAAAGGTAAGAAATTGGTAAATGAATAGAGAAAATGGAAGTAGGGGTTTGGGCTAAGGAAAGGTTTGGGTTTCCAGTGGGGGATGGAAAGCTGTGCAAGATGAGTTACAGAGGAATAGGAGAAGGATTACCAAAGAGAAAGGTTTGGACAGTCTGAATATAATGAGCATCAGAAAGTCATATGAATCAGTTTCAATCCTGAAGGAAGTTCTAAGCTACAAACGAATCTTTGGAAATAGAGTCTGTCTAAGAAATCTTTATTACATATCATTGTAGAAACTGGAAATGCCATTTGGAAACTATTCAATTTCAACATTTCAACATTTATGCAGCTTATCATTCATTATTAAAAAAATGTCAGTGTCCTGTTCAGTGCTTATAACTATTAAAGACAATTAGAATGTTTTAGAATTCAACAGTTTCTATTACCTCCCATATTCACCAGTGCTGCTCTTTGTATATTGGGGACCCAGCCTGCCCAAAGTCCACGAATTCCTCCTTCAGCTAAGATTTTTGCAAATGCATGATGAACACCACGAAATCTAAGGAAGACAACAATGAAAATATGAAAGGGATGGCACTGAATAAGAGCTTCACCCATAGCTGTAATAACATTTATGCAAAATTGTTAGGAATTAAAGCAGTATATATATAAATCTAATTTCCAAATAATAATCTTTTACATTAAAAGGCCAACATATGATTAAAACATTTTAACGGAAATTCTTGAAAACTGGATCATCCTGTTCTCAGATTATTAAATGCTAAGATGCCTTTCCAGATCTGTTATATCATCAGTGTACACATTAACCATGTGAAGAAACAGTGCTCATGAGACTTCTGGATGCATTTTATTGGCAATTGAGGAGAGCTGAACATTGAAAAATTTTGCCAAACAGCAATATAACTAGAACATTGTCAGGTTAGTATTTATCCTACCAGTTAAAACACTGGAAAGGATATTCAGAGTATCTGGGTTTAATTTCCAATTTGATACCTTAGCTAATACAGATCATGGGAGCAACAGTTAGAATTTATCTTATTTTCTAAAAAAGATTTATTTATTTTTATTGCAAAGTCAGATATACAGAGAGGAGGAGAGACAGAGAGGAAGATCTTCCGTCCGTTGATTCACTCCCTAAGTGGCCACAATGGCTGATGTTGCGCCGATCCAAAGCCAGGAGCTAGGAACTTCCTCTGGTTTCCCACATGGGTACAGTGTCCCAAGGCGTTGGCTGTCCTTGACTGTTTTCCCAGGCCACAAGCAGGGAGCTGGATGGGAAGTGGGGCTGTTAGGATTAGAACCCGCACCATATGGGATCCCAGTGTGTTCAAGGCGAGGCCTTTAGCCACTATGCTAGGCCACCATGCCCAGCACAGTAAGAATTTAAGTAACTGGGTTCTTACGACTTTCATGAATGAGTTGCACTGAATTTCCTAGCTTTTGACTTTGGCCCTGGCCCAGACTTAACTATTGTGGGCTCGTGGGGAATGAGCTAGCAGAGGGAGGTCTTTTTGTCTTCATGTTTTTCTCTCTGGACTCATACAATCTCATAGAAACAACGATATATTAAGATAAAAATGTAGGAAGGACAATCTAATGTGAGTTTCTGAAACTGAACAATTGTAACTTTATGAAAATTCACTGGCCTATCCATATTTTGATTTTTTTATAGACATGAAAAAAACAGTACTAAAACATGAACTAATTATGGAAGCCTTTTGGTTTTGCATAGTCAGAAAAACTAGAATCAGATGCCCACCTTTTCCACTCACTAGCTGTGTGATGCTTACTTGGGCAATGAACTGTGTGACTTCAACCAAAGAGATAATATAATGTATTAATTAAACATGTGTAATTGCTATTATGCTATTTAAAGTTATGATTAAAAAATGATGATCACTGTACCTAAGCTAATTTATCACTTATGGAGCACCAGACACTCTATATATCAAAGAAATACAATCATGCAGGAAAACCTATAAGGTATGCATTTTTATGTTAATTTACATTTGAGAAAACTGAATCTTAGAATGTCCCAATCACTTGATTATAATTACATAGCTAAGATGGGGTCAAGTCTGGCTCTGACCCCCAAGCTTTGGGATTCCAGGGTTCTACTACAGTCTCTGCTACAGCATTCACTTCAGTCAAACCAGAAATTTCCAGTGAAGAAGAGGGGGAAACTGATCTCTGGGAGGTGGGGAGCTTTTCCACACAACTTAGTAATAAGGGGTCATTATAAGACAAAATAGAAATTAGGGTTATATAAATCCATGGGCCCTTTTCTCCTCCAAGTTCTCTCTCCATTTGTTGAAGGCTGAAAGAGGGTCTGTGCTTCAGCAGCCCTAACTTATCTTCCAGAATCACCAGGAGAAGGGGAGTGGAGGGCAGCAGCCTGTAGTGAACTGAAATTGGAAATGTCTGGTTTGACTGAAGTGAATGCTATAGAGCTGGAGTGTCCCGAGGAGCAGGTGCCTTCACTCTCAGCCTGAGTCATCCAGAGCTGTCCCTACTTCCTGCAAGAGGCTCATCCAACTGTAAGATTCCATTCCTTAGCAATGGAATATCAAAGAAATGATATTTTAATAAATTACTGAAAATAAACTCCAAGAAAGGCAGACTTCACTAATAGAGAATCATGTGATGTGAGGATTTATATCACAAATACATCATAGAATCTTCCTTAAAATTGTGTAGAGAGGGCCTCAAATTATAGGAGTAATGAGATTAGATGAGGAAGTGAGAATATGTCACAAGTTTGACATTGCCACACACCTTCTATCTGAGAAAAAGGAAAAGGACTCAAGGTTGCTTGAGCCAGGCATATCAGCAACTGCAAAAACTGAGAGTGTCCTCTTTAAAGACAAAAACCCAAAGACCAGAAATATTAAGCGACTTCCCCAACACCAACCTATAATGGGGAAATAGAAGGATATATATTGGGGAAAATGTTCGTGACAAATTATATAAACCTATAATAGAGGCTATGTCTGTCTTGGCTGAGAAAAGTTTTACACACATACAATTTGTCTGGAAGGGAATCTCAGCATGCCAAGAAAAGATCCAACTGAGTTCTTCATGACACAATTTCCAAATCTAACAGTCAGTGTTAGTATCTTCACTGAATAGTGGATTACAAAAATGGTAAGTCCATCAGATATGATGGTGGTACAGGGAATAAAATAGGTCTCAGTTAACTGGAGAACTTACCGCAGTGGTTTTCCTTCAAGCTTTCTTTTTCCTTCCATCTGCATCTGAACTTTCACTAGGTCAGTTGGGTTGGCTAAAAATTGGCCAATAACACCAGCCATCATTCCTCCAATGACTGACTTCCTAATTGTAAAAAGAGACACAATTTAAAAAGTTGCCCAATAATTTCGCAAATTTTATGCTGAACCAACATCCAGCTGGTACAAGCCCTGGGTATGAGATTTAAAGGCAAAGTGAAGGATACACCTGGATAGATCAGAGAGGAAAGTAGACCATTTGGCCCTTTACTGATGGGAAAGTTAAAGAACCACGAGATGTTCTCTAACTCTCTTTGAAGTTGTGGGCTTTCCATGGTTCAAAAATCCAAAGAAAGAGCAGTTACTTCAAAGACATAAATAATATCTGAACTTAGAATTTAAGTGCGGTTTAATTCCAACTAAAAGGAAAAAGAAATGGTCGTGATGAGTTTAACAGACAAAGCCTGGTGAGACACATTTTAAAAATAACTTCATTAATAGGTTTGTTGGAAAGTATGGCCCTCTTTGGGAAAAAAAAAAAAAAAACTCTTTGCATTCCTAGGAACTTATTCTTCTCTCCTAGATCAATGAGTGAGCAAGACTAGATTATGAACTTATCCTCTTCTCTCCAGTCCTGGGGTCTTTTCATTAGATTATATTTGCCTTTTGCCTAGGTTATTCTAACAGTCTCTCTGGGGAGAAGCATTTCCTTTCTCCTTATCTGAAAGTGATCTGGAGAGGTATAAATAGATGTAAATACAGAGTCCTCTGACCCTATTCTTAACTCTCCTTGCTGAAATAAACACAGCGACTTATTTCTAATATGCCTCCACAGACATAACAATAATTCATTTACTGAATGCTTATTCTATAGCAGACAACTCTTCTGAACACTTAAAAAGTATGACTCATGGGGCTGACAGTATGGTATAGTAGGTTAAGTGCTGCTTGGGATGCCAGCATCCCATTATGGAGTGCTGAATCAAGTCTTGGATGCCCTTAGCTGACCCACCTTGCTACTAATGAGCCTGAGGAGGCAGCTGAGGACAGCTCAAGTGCCTGGGTACCTGTCAGTCAAGTAGGAGACCCAGATGGAGTGCCAAACTCTTGGCTGCAGTCTGGCACAGTCCTGGCTGTTGCGGGCATTTGGGAAGTAAGTGAATCAGAGAATGGAAGACCTGCTTCTGTCTCTCATTCTTTCTCTGTCATTCATTCCATTTGAATGAGTGGATATATAGTTAAAAAGCAAAATTACAACTATGATTTAATTGCCCTGTCAACAATCTGACAAATGTTACTGTCATTTTCTCTTTACACATGAGGAAGCCAGAGAAGATTGCAGTTAAATGACAACACAAATTACACAACTTGTGACTGCTCGTCAAGATGTAAATCCCGTCTGAGCGTACTGTCCCTCATCCTCAACACTAGCTAGAGTTGATGGCTTACACATACATAAGCCTATCTGTTTTTCCTTTTTAAAGCCTATTCCTTTATAAAAAGCACAAATTTTGAATGTCAAGTTGTATAGTGTTTTGGACTTGTTGTTTTGTCTCTATCAGCATACCCTAAAGGTTATCCCATCAGAACATATAAAGTTGTCTCATTTCTTAAAAATATCTTCCGTAACATTTCATACCACACTTTAATTGCTAAATCGTATAAATTTGAATATTTGTAAGATTGTGCAATTGTTTTACATACTGTTCACATCAACCAATCACCTATGTGAGTGCCCACTTTCCCTACATAATGACATAAATAGTACACCAGTAATTTCCTTTTCCTTTTTGGAAATACTGTTAGAACTCTCTTCTCTGTACTCTACATGTAATCCCAGTTGGTCATGCATGTGCTATTGTGAGCTGCATGATGGCAGGACTCTGTCTCTTTCCTTAATATAACCTCAGTAGTAAGTACAAAATTGGTACACCATAAATCATTTAAGTAATACCTAGTGACTGAATTGTCCTGAGGGGTCAAGAGGATACCAAACAAACATCCCAAAAATTGACTTTGTGATGCAGTATTTCCTTGGAACTCTTTAGCTAGATCCTTTCCTTCAGGAAGAAATTCCAAAAGGCAAGGACTATTAACCTTTTATTCCATCACTAATTCTGGGAAAACAAGTAGTATTGCTTATTTTAAAAAAACAGGACCAAGAGATTTCGCTTTTAAGAGAAGTTCTATTTACTGCCTTTGACAGTTATGATTGGTAATTATTTTTAAGCAAGAAATAATATTATATACAACTTTCCATATTATTCATATAAGACTTTATTCTTTCAATAACTGTATTATGCTTTTCTGTATAGATGTAATTTCTTTAACTACTCCTGAGTTGATAGTTATTTAGACTTTTTAAAGCTGCTATTATCAACATGATTACACTAGTATCTGAGTGTGTATTTCTGCATAAGTACAACTGCTTCTGAATGATAATCCTAAGGAGGGAACAGGATCAAAACACTGTATACTTAAAAAATTTACCAGGTAATTTATACTCCAGAAGAGCTGTGGTAACTTACATGACCAAAAATACCTTAAAGACAATTTTTTTTTCAAAGATTTATTTATTTTATTGGAAACACAGACTGTACAGATAGGAGAAACAGAAAGATCTTCTGTCTGCTGATCACTCCCCAAATGGCTGCAACGGCCAGAGCTGAGCTGATTGGAAGCCAGGTACCAGGAGCTTCTTCTAGGGTTCCCACATGGGTGCAGAGTCCCAAGGCTTTGGAGCATCCTTGACTGCTATCCCAGGCCACAGGCAGGGAACTGGATGATAAGTGGAGCAGCTGGGATATGAATCGGCATCCATATGGGATTCTGGAGCATGCAAGGCAACACAGGGGAAAAGGGTGTGCACCTAGATTTTTGTTCAAATGTATTGACCTGTAGAAGTTTTGTTTTGGGGCCCAGCACAGTAGCCTAGTGGCTAAAGTCCTTACCTTGCATGTGCCAAGATCCCATATGGGTTCCACTTTTGTGTACCTTGAACAAACTGCTCCACTTTCCTTCCTATCAGTATTTTCAACTGTAGAAGTAATCACAACCATCATTAATTTTGAGCCATTTCTCTGACTTTAAACCCCAGATATCCTCAACAGAAAAAGGGTTTAAAAATGTGCTCTGTAAGAATTCTTTGAATCTTAAAATAGTAAATGGTATTGAGTAGACTACTACACATAACTGATATAAATGTACACTATATATACTTATATATCTATATGTCAAGCAGGTATATTCCTGCTTCAAGAAGTTTACAGATAAAAAAAAACAGAAGTGAAAAGTTAATTTTGGTGCAAACATTCTGAAATCCATACTTTTTTGATGACATACAATTTCTATGACCCTTTTGAAGATGCCTTATCTATAAAGTGTTCAAATATTTTTACATCAAAATAAATTATTTTAAATCAATTTTCCATGATTTGTTTTTTCTTACATATGCTCACCGAGTAATTTTATTAAGCACTCACTATTAGGTGGCTACTTAAAGCCCTAGAGATACAACAAACAAAAGTAGGACTCTTCTAGAAGACATCATTTCTTTTGCAATGGAATGTAAAAGGACCAGAAATATAGAATAACCAAGATGTAACTATGCATCAAGAAACATCAAAACGTGTCCTTTGCATTTTTGGATTTTCTTTTTATCTCCCCATAATAAAATCATCAATATTCTTCCTTGTTAACAAACTCATCTTTAATGTGAGATTTGAAGTGGAAAGTGCTTGACCTAACCCTCCCTATCCTGTTATTTTTATAGGCCAATACATCACCACACCCCACTCCCAAATCTAAACAAGCAAGTGGTGTTAAACTTAGATACATGAAGCAGAACTCACCAGTGAGCCTGTGAACTGCATGAGGGCATGGCCTTCTTCATCTCATTTATCTCAGGTGCCTGGCACATAAGTGCTAAGTAGGGACTGTATAAATATCTTCTACTCTATCAGTGGACAGGAAATAAGCTCAACATTTACTCTAAAAGATTATGTAGGAGAGACTGGGAAGATGGCCAACATAGGAGGAAGGCTGTAAGGGAGAGCCCAGTGAGAGAGGGATAGAACACTACAGAAGCAGCAAAGAGGAACAGCAAAGAGCCGCAGGGAGACGTGCGTGAAGTTCCCCGGACAGTGTGGAGCCAAAAAGATCCATACAACTCAGAAGAACAATGAGAACAAAACAAAACAAAACAAAAGGCAGGGAAGACAGTGTCCCGCTCCAGACCTGCTGAGTCACCCTTAAGGGCAGCCGACAAGAGACGCAGCCGACCCAGAGACAAGGAAGCCTGGAGGGATTGTCACTGGCAAAGGTCTTCAACAGCAGCAGAGGCAGACTGCAACAGCCTGAGGTTCGGGTGAGCTGGAGAAGGGTTAACAGCTTCTGGAGCCCACCCTCCAGGGGCAGGCACAAAGCCTGAGCCTCTTGGGTGCTCCTCTCACCCCCCTTCCCGCAGAGGTTCCAGCTTCTGAGGACACAGGGCAAGTGCCTTGAAACTGCCGAATCTGTGCCTTGGAGGTGGCGCACAGTAGTCCTGTGTGCTGAGAAGGCACAAAGAAAGTGCCCTGAATATTCCCCCGCGGTGTGGGCCAGTGCATCTCTGTGCAGAAACTACCAGAGTGTCTGGAATCCCCCCACACCCTGATATCCTGTGGGTGGGCGGCACACCAGGAGGGCTTTGAACACCTCGCCAGGATGTGCAGTCCCGCCGCGCAGAAGCCTCCTACACAGAGCACCTGGCCAACCACTTGCCGCGCAGTTCTGTGCGCAGGGGATACACCAGGAGGGCTCTGAACACCCCCACACCACGCATGGTGGAACTGCTGCGCAGGAGCCACGCCCAGAAAGTGCCTCACCCACAGTCCCGTGTGTTGGTGACACACCAGGTGGGCTCTGAAAAACCCTGCAGTCCCTGGGCACTGAGGACACACCAAGAAAGTGCATAAAATCTTCCAAGTCCTGTAGATTCCCATGCAGGGGGCGCACCCAGAGAGCGCCTTCATCCCTCCACGCCCTGGGGTGTCACACCTGTAGAGGAGGTGCCCAGAGTGTGCCTGGAATCCACAGGGCCCCCAAGGTGGTGCCCTACAGTCCCGG